CTTTGAGCTGTGTGAAGTGTGAGTGAGTGTGTTTTCATATGAGTTTGAGCGAGGGCAACTGAGATGTTACGGGTGGTATATTACGTACCTTGGGAACCATGGTTGAAGCGGCTCTGCGAGTAAATGGAATATACGGTGTCCGGACAGATCGGAAAATGGTTCTGGGTACAAACCGTGACGCCGGGGCGACTGCTCTCTGTAGTGTGATGGGCATGGTGATGGATCGGAGAAAGGTCGAAGAAGCTCTTGGCTCGTTTGTTGATAAAGGACGTGGGAAGTGCGGGGAGCTTAGCTATCCGTCTGGTCTAAGGGGAATTAAGCTCCAAGCTTGGGGTTCCTATGAGGATGACGCGCTCAAACGCTTCCCTGGGTGACCGAAAAGACGCTGGATTGGCAATTGAGGTGTGTGAGATGCGGTTGCAGCTATTGATGATCTTCAACGGCAGTTATCAACGACTCAATTGGCGAATTTTTGGGCGAGCGACAACGGAGATGTGGTGAGAGACACGGGAGCTGGGTGTCAGTGATGTGTGGCAGAGGTACCGGACGTTCGATGACGTCCACCCCGCTTTGTTGACCGGCCCGGTTGGGTTTACCGCAGACCGGCACGGAGGTGGTTGGTGGGGTGTGTTAAGGTGTTGCGCTTTGACAAGGCAAAATCACTAACAGATAACATGCACCTGAACCTCATGCCTGAGTAAGTACATTGTGCCAGTCGTGGGCCGGCAACCGAGGACCACTGGCAAGAGCTCAAAGAGGTTCCTGCCTTTGATGGCGCCCGGTATTATTCATGGGTAAGGTGTCTGGACGGACACCTTTAGTTAAAACTGGCAGGTAGCTCATCTAGAGCTCTAGCTGTGTTGAACTTGACACATGGATACCTAAGTACTTCATCTTCGTGGTAAGGTATCTATCTACCTCAGAGAACTTACAAGACACACAATGAACCTGATCTGATCCAGCCAGGCGCACGCTCCAGCTGTTCATCTCATCTTCTGTCGAGCGGTGAAAAGGAAAGGAAGTTCAGCTTGACCTAAGAACCTTGATTCCACGTACTCAATTGGTAGACTACGCTACTCTTTTCATATGCCAGCCTTCAAAATATCACCAGTGTCGGGCGAGCCTCGCTTCGTTAGTAGTCCCAAATGCATGGAACCTAAATCGAGAATAAATTCCGATCCTACAGTACCAACCCTGGTCAACAGACCAGCGTAGGCCAAGCCGTCACTGCATCCCCCAGCGTTGATCTCGCCCGTTCCGATAGCGTAAGCGACCTGCATGCCGTCACGCTCCTCTGCCGCCTGCCAAATCATGGCCATCGCTCGCTATTCTGTTTCCTTGCTTCTCCTCACCTTCCTCTCAGCTGAGCAACCTGCAAATCTCCTCCTTGGCGACAACAAAAATGATCAGCTATAATCCCCACGACGGTACCGTTGCCCACCCATGCGGGGAAGCTTATTCTCACTTCACTCTCTCTCACCGACATCGTCCCCGCTGAGGTAGCCGCTACTTTCCCGCCTGACCCCTAGTCATCATGTCGTCCGTCATCAGATCTGTAGGCTCGGCCCTGGGTGACGAGCTCGAGTGCTTGTTCTCTGCCTTTTCGCCTTGGTTTTATGCATTCAAGTTGCCCTCTGCCCTGACCGGCGTCGTGGAGCTACTTGCCGTAGGTGCCGTCAATGTCACTGTCCCCGGTCCCAAGGAGGCGAGTCCCGTCTTTGATGCCTTTGTGAGCTACTCGCTCGAGTTTGCCTTTTTCCCAGACTTTGCTGGTACGTTCACTCCATACAAGACACCCTGACAAAGTAAAATGTCACTCATCATGATGTTCTAGGAAACGCCTCGGCGCCAAACAAGTTCTCAGACAACCTTCTCGCAAACTTGGGTAACCTACAAGGCGTCCGCCCTTATATCCGTGTAGGCGGAAACACCCAAGACTACGCACTCTATGATGTATCTCTCCCCTACGCAGTGAACGGCAGCTATGACTTCGCCAGGTCAAAAGACTACCCAACCACCATCCACATCGGCCCTTCCTTCTTTGAGTCCTATAGCACTTTCAAGGACACCAAATTCACCCACGGCTTCAACTTAGGCCTGGGCGGCAACCGTTCAGAAGGATGGGACACCCTCAAAGCCACCGTCCCCTTGGCCTGCAAAGCCATTGGCAGAGACAACCTCGACGTTTGGGAATACGGCAACGAGCCGGACCTCTTCTCCACCTCGGCCCAGGGCCCCGCCCGCCCCTCGTCCTGGAACGAGACAACTTACGTGGAGCAGTGGCTGAACGGCACCCGCGAGATCGCCTCCGTCCTCGCGGAAGCGTGTCCTGATTTCCCCAAGCCCGTCTTCATGGCGCCCTCCAACGCCGGCACCGCCAACCGGCTCCGCGCACCCGCACAGTGGGCCGCCGGCCTGAACACGGATGATAACGTCGCCCTTTTCTCGACGCACAACTACATCAGCGGCGCCGAGAGCCCTGGAGTCACGCTCCGGGGAACGCTGATGAACCACACCCGCACCGTGCAGTCCGTCCAGGCTCACATTAAGGAGTATGCCAACCTCACTGGCCGCTTCGACGACGTGCCGCCTCATATCTACGGGGAGCACAACTCGCTGTATAACCAGGGCAAGCCGGGGCTTTCAAACTCGTTCGGCGCCGCGCTCTGGGGCGTCGACCTCAACCTCTATGCTGCGTCACAGGGAATCAAGCGCGTTCATATGCACATGGGCACCGACTATCGTGTAAGACCTCCTTCCTCTCTCCATATATCCATTCTATTAGCTGACATCCACTCAGTACCAAAGCTGGCAACCTGTCCATACAAACATAACCGCCCTCGGCACAAAGGCCCCTTACTACGGCAACATCGCCATCGCAGCCTTCCTCGCCCCGTCAAAGGCCTCCCCTGTAACTCTAGTCTCCGTAGCCTATATCCCCCTCCCAGCCTCCGACCAGGAAACGACATCCGCCTACGCGGCCTACCACGGCGACACCCTCGCCCGCATCCTCGTCATCAACCTCAACCCGCACAACTCCACCGTCAACGGCACGGGCACGACGCCCGACCCGGACAGCAATCCCTTTCGCGGGGTCAAGGTGTACAGTTTCGCCGTGCCGTGGGCCAACGATGTATTCGCCAATGTGCGGCGGCTGGCTGCGAACGGGAGCGATGCCATTTCGGGGGTTACGTGGGATGGGTGGAGTTATAATTACGAGCTGGACGAGGGCAAGCCGGTGCGGTTGGGGAATGTTACTGTGGGAGAGACTGCGATTGTGTATGGGGGAAGGGTGACTGTTGCTGTGAGGGATAGCGAGGCTGTTGTTGTTAGTCCTGTTTTGGGGTGTAGGGCGAAGAGGAGGCTGTGAAGTCGCATTCAAGTGACTAACAACATGACAATCTGACATATACCTCTCTCACGACTATCCATTGCTACTCGTTTCTACCAGCCGTGACACAACAGTCCACGACGACCAAACAACGACATCCAAAACCACAGAATCAAACAACACCACATCAACACCCTCACCTCTTCTCCCCAAACTGCCTCTCCACCTCCCTCGCAAACTCCCCAATCGTATCAAACCGCCACTCAAACCCAACATCCCCCTTCGTCCCCTCCCAATCCCCTCCCACCCCTTCCCCGTCCTTTACATCGCCGCCCCTCGAGATCCAAACGCTCCTCAACCCGAACCTCTTCGCGGGGACGTGGTCGGCAGTCAAACTCCGCGCAACATGCAACAGCCCCTCTCCCCGCTCATCATCCCACTTCACCCCAAAGTCCTCCTCCACATGCTCAAACAGGTAGGTAAAGTTGCCGTCGGCGGGTTTGTAGCTTCCGATTTGCTCTGCTGTGTACACCGCGTCAAACGTGACAGGGGAAAAGTGTGTAAGAGTGTGAGAGATGTTGGAGGCGTCAATGTTGGAGAGGATGATTAGTTTGTAATGCCTCTTTAGGATTTCCAATCCGGGGATCGTATCCGCAAAGGGGACCCAGGTTCCGGGGAGTGAGCCAAAGGCCGTGGCTTCTTCTTCTGTCACGGAGACGCCGAGTTCTGCTGCGAGGGTACGGAAGGAGGAAGAGAGGTTGAGGTCGTAGCGGAGGGTTGGGGAGGAGGATTGCAAGGCTGCGGAGAGGGTGTCGAAGCGTTTCGTGAGGGATGCTTCTGTCGGGACGTCTGTGGTGTTGGTAGACGAAGGAGGAGGAGGAGGAAGACGGGAGATGATGGGCTCAAGACCGGCGCGGAGACCGGATTCCCAGTCGATTAGGGTGCCGTAGCAGTCAAAGGAGAGGGCTTTGAATTTTGTGAGGTCTGGGTAGGAAGACATGTTGGGCAGATAATGGATGGGGTAGATGGGTAGTTAGTTGTGAGAGAGGATATATATCTTGGGAGAGTGAAGAGAGAGGTAGAGGGAATTTTCTTGAGTTGGGAACAAGTTCTGTGAATGACACCGAAACCAGAACGTAAGATTTCGAGCAAGGGTCTCGCTATTCAAGATAGAAAGAAGAAGAAAAGAAAGAAAAAAAAAACCAAGAAGAAGGAGAGTGAGGAAACATCAACCTTTTATAGCGATTCCCAGGAAGACGGGCATGGCGTAGTATAGTGTGGTGTAGTTCCTCCCCAGCACCTCATCCTCAAGGGCGCGGATGACGAGCGGGGAGATCGCCACCTCAGCACATCATTAACTCCCCCAAAAGACCATCGTATCCGACAGTCTACCCATCCATTCCTCTTTGGGCTATACGAATGAAAACATCATAAGCTTGCAAGTATAGTCAACGGTAAAAGTCAAATGGTAGCAAAAGACGTAAAATTAAAAGCGTCCTCAAAAGAAGTGTCATGGGTATCAACAATACCAGTAAGCCTGCCTTTACACGCCATCATCCTACCCAATCGAATGTAAACCCTCAAAAACCCCGTAATCGCCATTTGTACAGTTCAATTTCATCAACAATAATCCCTTCTCAGCGCCCAAAACCACTTCACCAACAGCCAACTAATTCAACCGTGGGCTCTTCCTTCTGGGCCCCAAACTCGACGAAAAGGACGAAGGGGGCAGATTCTCCCGCCCCTCGATGGGAAGCAAGCTAGCATGTTTGCGGCCCTTGACCACAGGCCGCGTCGAGGTCCTCTTGCTAAAAAGCAGCGGCGCCGTGTTCTCGTTGATGGACATGATGCTCGTCGCCGGGTCGAAGCCGTGGTTACCGGTCGTGTTGGGGTTCACTTCGCGAAGGCTCATGTTAAAGGGGGGCATCTCCGAAATCATGCTAAGGGCCGACATACGAGTCGACGTGCGCGCCGGTGGCGGTGACCGGGACAGGTCGTTTTCCGTGTCCGAGAAGACCATGGCTTCGGGCGCGGGCTTGGTGGGCGTCGCGGAATCGCTGAGCTCAGCGAGGAGGGCCTCGTGCGCTTCGGTCCGGGGCAGGTCGGTCGGGTACCGGTACTGGACCTTCATGGGCGTCTCTCCTGTCGGGCGGTACTCCTGGATAGTTGTCGTTTCAATGTCCTCCCGGAGCGCAGTCAATGGCTTCGACAATTGCTGGGTCAACGGGTCCAGACCTTGCTGCATCTCCTCGGTTTCGGTCTCCATCTCCTCGCCGAGGTCCTTGACGCGGTCAAACGTAGTCTTGAAATGGCTCGAGATGTTGCCGAACGACTTCTCCACAGTAGATGACAGGCCCTGCATGGACTCGTTGTGGCGTTCGTGATGCGAGGCGTTCTCGGAACGAGCGCGAGTGACAAAGTCGTCCAACGCCTCCATTTGAACGTCAAGATCCTTCAGTTGCTCGTCCACGACACGGACAGTCTCGGCGTGCACCGACTTCGTGGTTGCTTGGATGGCCGTGCTGTGTTCCTCGGCGATCTATTTTTCGATTAGCAACGTGGTTAGCTAGTCACGGAGCATATTTGACTTACAGTCCAGTCATCCTTCAACTTCTTCTTCATTGCGTCACGAGACTTGGCCACATCAACAAGGAAGTGGCTCTCCTTGGTATCCCACGCGCCCATATCCTCAGAATACTGGGTCACCGTGTCTTGCAGCGTCACATTCGTGGCCAAGACCTTCTTCTGCAGCTGCGCAGTCTTCTCGGCGAGGCGCGTCTCTTGAGTTGTCGCCTGAGCGTTGATCAGAGATGCAATCTGAGTCAACAAATTCTGTCGGTCCACTGCCGCTTGCTTCCTCTCCTCATCCAACACTCGCTGCATCTGAGCCGAGGTAGTCTCGTTCTCCTCGATAACGTTGTTGGTTGCGCTCTCGAGTTGTTGTCTGAGTTTGTCGGATTCACTTCGCTGTTCCGAGATGTGCTTCACAAGTTCCTCAAACATGCTCTTGAACTCCTTACCCAGAGAGCTATACGAAGAGTGCAACTGCACACATGTTAGCTTTCAAGTCCGACCAAAAGTATCCGTAATATCTTACCTGGCTGTGGAAAGTGTCGAGCTCGCTGAGGACATCTGCAGCAATGCGCTCCGCAGCACCAGCAATGGCATGAAGACTCTCTCCAACCTGTTGCTTGACGGTGTCGCGAACGATCTTAATCTCCTCGAGAACGTCATCCATCTCATCCTTGGACTTTTCGTTCTGTTCCAAAAGCTGCTTCCTCGATTCCGCAAAGGAGTCGAGCTGCTCGTCGAGGAACTGCTGGGTAGAAGACAGCTTTCCCAACTCTTCACTGACAAAAGCGTTCATGCGCTCAGAGATACCCGAGATATTTTCCCGCTGCTTCTCCTGGAAATTCTGCACACGCTGCTCCACGAGATTCGTCACTTCAGACACTTCGGCTTGTGCTGTGCCCCATGCGCTTCGGTTGATGGATTGGAGCTCCGACTTTCTCTTGTTCTTCGCTCTAAGACCATCCACATCGTGGACCGTCTTCTGCAGAGTCGCAATGAGCTCCCCGCCAACTTCGGCCAGCTTCTCCTCGGTTTCCTGGTGAGCTTTGCGGAGGTGAGTCTCCTCGGCGAGGCTCCTTCTTGTGGCCTGGAGCACGACCTCGGTCTGTTCGAGAACTTCCTGGGTCTCATCGAGCTCAGCCTTGGTGCCTTCGTGATCCTTCCGCAGCCCCATGAAGCTAGATGTCAGAGCGAAGAGCTCCTGCACCTTGTTCTTCAGGTTGCCCTCGAGAGTTTCCATCTTGGCTGCCTGCTCCTCCATAACAATGCGTCTCGATTCGCTCTGGGCCGTCATCTCCTCGTAGCTCTCGTTGGAAAGGTAAACACCGTTGCGCTGTCTCGTTGTAATCAGCTCGCTCTTGAGCCTCTCAATCTCGGTCGCAAAGTCCCTGAGAAGCATCCTCTTGTTGATCATGGCGTTCATCTGCGGCTTGTTGCGAATGTTCTTGGCTCGGAATGCATAGTCGAGTGTTGAGATTGTCTCCTCGAGATTGCTCTTTGCCGGCGAAATGGTAGCAATGATACACGTCTTCGTCTGTCCACCCAAGGAGTCTTGCAGAAGTCTGGTGAGCTTCGACTCTCTGTACGGAATGTGCTGGCCCTTGTCGACCAACGCGTTGATGACTCGGCCGAGTGTCAAAAGACTCTTGTTGATCAGGCCCGCCTCAGCAGCCCGCTTGTTCTCCGCCCCGGATCGTTGAATATTTTCACTACCGGCCAAATCGACGAGGTTGAGCTTGCCGGCGCTAACGTAGTCGTCACTTCCATCCTCGCCCTTCTTGCGGACGTAGGCGGTGACAGTGAAGACCGTGTGACTTCGGGAACTGAGATCGTTGCACTTTGTCGCCGCGACCTGGCGCTTCAAGCTTCCATCCTGAAGAACCTTGATACCCTCACCGGCGTTTCTAATGTGTCTCTCCTCCATACCCTGCACCACTGTCGTCGCGTGTCTTCTTGATGTGTCGTCAAAGATCTTCAGTTTCGGGCCGTCCTCGACAGCGATCAAATCGCGTAACTCTTCGTTGTAGAGTTCGATGAATGAGCACTTGACGCAGCTCTCGGTGTCGTCCACTTCGAGTTTATTGAACAGCGCGTGGAGAGCTCGGGGGATGATGCCGGCATTATCAGAGAGGAGGCCGAGGGTTTCTGTCATGTCACCTGACATGGTGTATGTCTTGCCCGTACCGGTCTGGCCGTAGGCGAAGATTGTACAGTTGAAGCCAGCGAGCATCTACATTGTGTTAGTCAAGTCTCATTAGCCAGGTAACATCTTAGACGCACCTCATCCAAGATTGGCTTGACGGTATCATCGAAGACCATGGTCTGGTCAGCCGCTGCAGAAAAGACGCGATCAAAGTTATACGTCTTGTTGCTCAGCGCATTCGGGCCGAGCTTCAGCTCGACATTCTTGCCCTTTGCGCCATCAGCCTGGACGACAACGGCGCTGTTTTCCTTGACCTCGCGATCGTTGCGGCCTCTGCATCGGACGACGACGTTGATGTTGGTCTCCTGGCCCGGCGTATCAAAGTCGTACTCGCGCTCCTTACGCTTCGTCGCGTTGGTGGCGACTGAGGCGACGGATTCGGCGGGCGAGGCGGGACGTTGGGTCTGGGAAGGGCCATGCTGGTATCGCAAATTCGAGGTCCGCGTTCCCGGTCGCACGCTCGAGCGAGCCGCGGCGCCGGTACGCAGATTCGACGAGGCCGTCCTCGTCAGCTCCCGTCTGGAGCTCATAATTTGGGTGGTAGTATTTTCTTTTTCCGAGTGGTCGATTGGTGGCGGTGGTAGGACAAGTGGTTGAATGAGTATACGAATCAAAAATCGCAAATAACAGCTCGCCGGTGCCGTTTCGTGTTGAATGGTGTGAAAGTCGGAGCCGTCAAAAAGTAGTAGCAGTCGTCGGGATATTGTGTTGACAGTTACAAGGGTTAGTAAATAGAAGAAGCGCGCTAAGTGGGGGCAAGCTCTGTGGTTGGTCTGCGGAGTCTGCCGTCACCTGGGCAACCGGTCCACCAGCTCATCTGCCCACACCACACCGTTGTTTCCTCCCCATCCTCACCGGCGTCTGGGTCCCATTTCTCACCGCTCACCGACTCCGGGGCACTCACCGAGACACATTGGGACTGACACAAATACCGTGCGTAACCAAGTACTCTACGTTATCTGTATTATCAAATATCAAATCTCTTGCTTCCACCTGCATCATCGCACGACTTTCGTAGTATGTCTGTATCATTATATGTATATATAGAGTTTCCCTAACGGAAATAATACTATCACATACCCTACTCCTCCTTCCCTGCAGGCGGAGGGAGAAGAAGCCCAGTCCTCGAACGTCATCCATCCCGCGATGTAAAGGGGAGGAAAAAGGGAAGAAAAAAAGTCGCTAAAAAAGAAATCGCACTCAAGCGGACAAAAGTCGAACTGAAAAGATCCCCGTCTTCCCCATCCTCTCTCTCTTTCCCCCTCTCTTCACCATTCCCTTCCCTCTTCCGGGTATCATTACGTCTCTCCTCTCCTCTTCTCTCTTCTCTACCTTTTCCTCTCCCTCCCCATCACTAGATTCGAAAACACGCCATTTCTTCACAAAGAGAACAGCCCAATGTGACTCCAAGAAAACTTTTGCTCCGTCGGCTATGCATAGTAATGACAGTGCTTGTGATGATGAGCGGGTTACCAAAAGAAAACACACAGAAGAAAGAAAATAATACGCAACTTTTAACTCTTTGCCGCAAATAAGGGCCGGAGAGTTGAATTGAGAAGAAGGAGCCACGAGGAGAGCCAAAGACATGGTCCTCGCTCACAACCACAACAACCACCTGACAGCGCCCACAGCCCCTTGCCCAACACCCCAAAACACCCTCAGGATCATGACGACAAACCAGACATACCACATGAACCCGACAAGCACCCACTCGACAGCAAGCCACATGGCGCGACGGACCCAGCGGAACCTACGTCTGCGCCGCCGCAGCATGGCCTCGATCACATCGAGCGTATGCTTGATCTTGAGCCGCTGGCCCAGCGTGAGGTCGCGGCTCGTCTCGTCCGCCTCGTCGGCCGCCGCCCGTGTCATGGCGGAGAGGTCCGTCGCTACCCGCCGGCGGACATCCTCCACGCGGCGGTGCAGGGCCGGGACGGTGTCGGCGACGAAATGGTCCGCCGTCTTTTGCCAGTCCTGGCCGGCGCACTGGATGGATTTGCCGAGGGTCTTGGCGGCGAACTGGTACAGCTCCGTCTGCGGTACGGCCTTGTTGCGTAGGCTGGCGGGGTCGGGGCTGAGCTCCGCGATCGTGGGCCAGAATACGTTTGCGACCTGAAGGTCATTCTGAGACGGTGTTTGTCGGGCTGCAAACGCCAGATGAGGCTCGTTGGCGCGGCGAGTAATTTCCATGGCCTTGATGCCGGAGCTCAGGACTAAGGCACGCAATCGGGCGACTTCACGCTTCGACATGGGTGCTCGGTCAGGTGCGGGGCTGTGGTCAGAGATGGACCAGTGTCGACTGCGGTTTGAGGAAGATCCAGGACGGCCATCCGGTGGGAATGAGGGCGGAACGGCGATGATGTTGTTGAGACGCTTGTCCGCCTCCTTCAATCCTGCGCTGTGGCTACCAGACAGCGGCTCGCCCTCGGAGACATCTGACAAGCGCTTCGTCGATCCAGGCGACGAGGTCGGACTCGCGCTCAGGATATCGATACGCGGCGGCTTCAGCCTGTCAAAGCGAGGCGACTTACGACTTGCTGACGGCGGTGACGTGTCGGGAAGTTTCGCCGGCTCGCTCTCAAGGTGCCTCAGCTTCTCGTGGGAAGACTCGAATGCAGGCATGATGTCGAGGTAGTTCTTGCCGTTCTGCTGGCGCATACCCTGACTTCTGATCGAAGCCGTCCTTGAAAGTGGCGTCTCTCCTCTTTTCCTGCCTCTCTGCTCGGTGTCTGACTCATCCGTTGTGGTGCCTTCGGCTTCGGACGGGCCATCGCCAGTCTCTGACTCCTTACGCCAGATCAAATCACCAAGCTTCGACATGCCACCACGTATAACATTGTCGATACGAGCCCCTTTGAAAAGCCCTCGCATTCCCGGGTCGTCACTGCGCAGCTTGGTGCTAGCAGTGCTGCGATGAGACTTATGGCTTTCGCCTGTTGGCCGTTGGACAACCTTGCGAGACGGGCTTCTAGAAGAGCCCCTTCTGTCCATAGACTTTCGATCACCCGAGGACTCAGGCGAAACCTCGAAGGGCGTCTTTGGCGCGCTAGCCAGATCCTCCGCGCTAGATCTCTCTTCCGAAATACGCGAGCCTCTTTCCTTGCTACGCTCGCGGAATATTTGTTTGACCTTGGAAAACGGGTTTCGCGTAGGGGAGTTTGCCCGACTTGACCCGGGTGAAAGATCTCCCCCAAGAGCAGGGATGAAGGGATCTCCACGAATGGCGCCGTCTGGAGAGTTGGGAAGAGATGAATCGACTTCGAACGAGCTTCTCCTCGCGGGCACCGGGATCTCCAAACTTGACCTGCCCATGCCGCGTTGAAGGTGCAGCGGAGTGAAGCGAGGCTTTTCCTTACTCTTCCTCTCATCAGACTCGCTCACCTCCACGATAGATGCCTTCCGACTGTGTTGTCGTGACTGTGGATGTGACGTGACCCCAGCATTCCGCTCCGGCGTTACGTAGCCCGATCCGTCTGGCTTCTTGGGCCCGTTTTCACGCGCCTCCTTGGCAATCATTTCAAGCATCTGCTTCTCCAAGATGTCTTGGTGGCTGCTGGTGAGCGTGCCTGCTCGGTTCCTCCTCTCCTTCCTAAGCTTGCCTTCATTCTCGCTCTCAGACAGATCAGAAACCGAGTTCTTGCCGTTCTTCCAGTCATAGTGGCTATGCACTGAGTTGCTGTGCCGGTGGTGGTGATGATGATGGTGTCCAGTAAGATCGTGCAACTTCTGGCGGGCACGTTCTCGAGCGCTCGCTGTAGAATGCTCCGTGTCCGACTTGGCAAGGCCCGGGTTGCTGGATTTCGGATCGATCATGGTACTTATTCCTTCGTATTCCTTACGCCCTGGTGTCTGTCCTGACTCGCTGCCGTACTCTTCATTCTGCCTAGACAGAGGTCTATGCAGTTCGACATTCTGGGGGAAGATTCGGCGCCAGTGACGGTCTTCAATCAGCTGCTTGTGGTGGTCTTGCTCCAGCCAGTACACATCGGCGAGGAGGTCCGCTGCGTCAATAGTCCAATCCAGCCTCGGTCTTCTCGGCTTATTGGCACTGGCGGTGGCTTGAAGGGCGTTTTGCTGCTCCACCATGTCGGCATCCGTGAAAGGCGGCAGCGTACAGCCATCCGCACTGGTCTGGCCCGTCGCAGCCCATTTGGCCACTTCGTCAACCCAGTCGGCGACTTTGATAAAGTCTCCAAAACCCTGGGCCTCGCCATCAATCGCCTTGCGCTCCCGAGCTCGCACCTTTCTGTTGCGGATGTATTGTAAAGGGTTGTAGGGACGCCCCAGCCGCACGCTGCCATCAGTACTACCGTAGGTGGGAATCCTTGCAACTCCTCCAGAGGACGTGGGCGGACTGGCGGTCGTCGGGCGGCTCTGGTTGTGCGACTGTATGGGTGGGACCAGCTCCAACAGGCGCCTGTATTGGGCCATCAGCTCCAGGTGCTCCTTTGCCTTTTGTACTCGTACCAAGGTTGACGCGGTAAAGTGGTTCCGAAAGGTGCCCTCCCGGCTCATATCGAACGTTGCCTGTAGCGGGCTGCTAAGCATGCCCGCCGAGGGCAATCGCGGAGTAAGTGCCTTTTCAGGCCCTGGGGACCTCGTCCTCGACATCCTCCTCTGCTGCTGCAAATGGTTTTTGAGATTGGCGCCCGTCGTTCCGTCTGGAAGCTGGGCCAGTGTCGGCACAGCCTGAGGCGGCGCGATCCTTCGCGACACCTGCCGTCGAGATTCGCTCAAGTTAAGAGCCATGTTCACGATCTGCGCCGAGTCGATATCGAGTGGGGCATTCGATGGCGGCGCGAAACTCGTTCCCGACAAAGGTCTACTGCCGTTGGGCGCATCCCGTTTCCTGACCGTCAGTTTATTTGTAGGTTGCGGCGGTGATGAACCGCCATTTCGCCTTGGCGGGCTCTCGAGCCCAGCGAGTCCGTAGCCGACATCGCGACCAGCGCTGGATCCAGACCTGTCCGATGCCCTTCCCGAGTCTTTCGTTCTCCGGCTGGGTGGTATGTTTCGCGTTACGTGCCGCAGTCGGGGCGCCTGCTCCTCCTCTTCGGAATCGTCATCGTTGCGAAAGGCATCCTGCAGCAAAAAGGCTCCGTTAGAGCGATGCCTAGGAGCTCTCTGCTGCTGCTTCCTCGCGTCGACCCTTCCCCCATGGTATCCATTTGTATGTTCAGCATCTCTCGGGCTCGAAGCAACTGGGCGGCGCGCGCCGCTGGACTCGTCGGGCGATGGCAGAAGCGTCGTGTCGTTGAGGAGGCTGCCTGTGGCACTCGATTCGCCCGTCTCGTAGCTACCCCTGCTGCTGCCCCTATCGCCAGGCATGGAGTGCGGGCTCAGCTTCCTCGTGAGAATGGCACGCTGCTGGGCGGCATCTTTCTCCGTCATGACGGCGGAGATGCTCGCATGGCCGGCCAAGCTGTGGGTTACGTTGTCACCAGCCCGTTGGGTCGGTTTCGAAGCCGTCCGGTCGTCGTCGTATTCGTCGCTGTCGTCGTCGTCGAGCTTAGCTTGCTCTCGTCCGTCCGGTGTTCGGATAGTGGGCGGGCGATGGAAAGTGTCGGTTGGGTAAAATCGATGAGGGGGGAACTTTTAGGGGTTCGCGACTCCCATGGTACTCTTGGTTGGATGCAAGGGGGTGGATGGCCGGGTTCAAGACGAGTCAAAAAAATAGCCAAGTAACGGAACACCCCATGTGAAGGGACGAAGAGGTGACGAAGATTTTGGAAATGTTGGCGCTGATTCGTCCGAGCCGAAACAGGGCATTGACATGTGCCAGCTGAGCATAAGTTGGCGTCGATCTCTCGCTGCCCAGGATCGTGGCAGTCCAACTTTCGACCGTACAGTATCCGTAGCAGCGGCAGCGACAGCGGCAGGAGTGAAGCAAAGCGGCGAACACACGGACAAACACGGTCCAGGGTTCCTAGCCAGCTCTAGTGCTCCTTCCAACTCAACGCCTGCGAATACAAAGTACCCATTCGCCCATTACGCAGCCAAAAGCCTGGCAGAAGCAAGTATCCGTACATTACTCCGTAGGTACCTCCCCATAGCTCTGCCGTGGCGTTGCAGCCGACCACGCTAAGATTTGCTCCACCCGACGACCCCACACATGCAGAAAGATGGCTCCACCCGATTCGGCAATCGCCGGAGCGGAACATCCTCCAGACCCGGACAAGCAGCGAGTTCCATCCAATCGTAAGGAGAGAGACACTGGAATGGTCTAGCCCAGGCGGAGAGGTACCATCTGACCAACGGCACGACAGACAAAGAACTCCTTTGTCTCTCTTGTTTCACTGTACCAACGTCACCAGGAACATCAAGCCTCCAATCTCCAGCTGAGGCAAGAATAGGTACTGCACGGAAAACACTGCGGCTTTGATATCAAGCAATCGTTGAGCGCGCTAAGCCGGCAGGTAAATGGATCCCCCGGCCCCCCGATCCGCGCTAAGGTTTCCCGGATCAGACCGCCCATTGCATCTGAAAGGGTCTCCCTGCTTCAAACATATGTTCGACATCTTCCAACCACATGGCCTCCATTTCCCTATTGCATTGTAGAAAGACATTCGTGACCTACGGGATGGTGTTTTAATTACTCCATCAACATAGTCGAGTGCAATTTTAGACATGGCGTAAGAGCTACGGTCTAATGTTCTTCAAGCGGTATAATTTAGCATTGTGCTTCTCCTCCAGCTTAGCGCCCTAGCACTTCAAGGTTAAAACTTGGCATCAAACATGTCCGACTTGCCCGTGCCAATCGATAGTCGAGGCGGCGATCTGCTATCATGTCGTGTAACGCCCCTTGAAAGCTCAAGACAACAAGCCATATCGTACAACTTACTTGAATCAATTTTCACGACTAAAGAAAAATAAAACGCAATAACAGGAAAGCAGCAAAAATATTAAAAAGCTCAGCCCCCTATTACAGGGAAGCCTACGAAAGATCCGAGGAGACCCTTACCAGCCTCAGGTGTAACGATGCAAGGATTTTTACAAGAAACAACACGGGACTCGAACCCGGGGCCTATGTGTGCGGGAGCTATTCGAGCGCAGATGCGCCGACATTCCCCGCTACGACACAGGCCTTGGTGATAGTATCGAGCAGAATTATTTCCTAAAGACCTAGTGATGCGGTGGTGGCGGGCGGTGTGTGGACGAGGATGGGTGGTAGGTGATGGTTGGGATGAAAAAGGGGTCTTTGTAGGACCTTAGCCTTGGGAAGGAAGGAGCTGGACAGAAAGATTGTCTACCTACTTGCTACCTACCCAGTTGTGTTATTTATGGCCGTTGGAATCTCCTATGAGCATCTTCTTCAGAAACTCGGCGTCACGGCTCGTCTTCATACCACACATTGTCAACATCAATATCACACAGTCTAATACACTAAAGCAATATGGAAGGGACAAATTATTAAGCTCTAGGGAACATCAAAGAAACTCGAGTTAGGTATTTTGTGCGTTCCTAACGAGGGCCTGTTACCAGCATCACCCCCATTCTTCCAAGCTTCCGTCCCGCTCCCTCTTCGGTACCCAAATTCATACAAAGAATCCAACGCAGAGCCCATCCCCGTATACCTGGCGGGCCCAAAAGGCAAAAATCACCAACAAAATAAGGTGGGCGCAGACTATTTCTCACATTTGGGGTGACCTGGGGTATCGGGGTATCTCACCCTAACCAACTTAAGCGTGAACAGGGGACTTGTACTCGGAGAAGAAACGCTCGTGGATGCGGCCCATGTACTCGACCAAGGCGGGCTTCTCGCGGATGAGAGCGGCGTGGACGGGGTTGCTGTATCGCGATATGTTAGCTCTTTCTCCTTGATGTCCATCCTTCCCATGACCATGCGATCACTTACACAGTAGTGCCGAGGACGGTAGCAAGGTTGCCGTAGACGATAAAGTCGGCCTCGGATGGACGCTGTCCGCCCAGGATCCAGAAGGGCTCTCGGGACTCCCGCGAATCGAGACTCAGCTTCGACAGCGAGGTCTCGCAGAAGCCGTTCAGGGACATGACGACGTCGGTGGCGAAGGCCTTGACCTCTTCGTCAGAGTAGCGGCCAACACCCTGGAACCACAACTGCGAGTTGACATAGCCGCGAGCCGCCTGGGTCGAGATCTGCTTGGCGCCCCAAACAAAGTGGGAGAAGGGACCATCGTGCCACATCATCTCGTACTGGCCGCGCCATCTCTCGTACAACTACGTTGAGCGTTAGCATATGCTCCTGTATCCTTTCACTGTCATATTGCGGGTTCTCCTTACGATGAGGAAGTAAGCGCGGTCCTCCAGCATAGCTCGGATGCAGGCATCCTTGGCCTGGTCGGAGGGAGAGAGCTCCTTGTTGAGATCCTGGAGCTTGCCGGTCTGCACGAGACGCTTAATGATAAACTGGGACTCGCCGACAAGCTCGTCCGAGTCGGCAAGCTTAACGTAGGGTACTCGGTACTTGGGTGCCTGGAAGATGTTGGCAGCGCGGTCTACGTGCTGAATACCGGCATGGCGCAGGCGAAGACGCAGTTGAATTGAAAAGGGCGTGTATCCATACTGGCCGGTAGGGCGATCGAAGCTGTAGATGATCAGGTCGTGTCCAACTCCCTTCTCCACTGCGGCCTCGTCCTCGGCAGCCTCTCTAAGCTTGCGCGGGAGGTAGCGCTTCAGAGCCAAAGCGTTCTGCTTGGTGTTCTGGGCTCCTGCCGGTGCTGTCTTCTTTGCCATGATGCTAACGAGGGGGTATATGGGTATCTTTGGGGGGTATCTCTGGGTATTCAATGAATAACTAACTGTTCTATGCTGCTACAAACCACAGGAGGCTTCTAGCTGTATTATTTATTGTTTTCGATACAGCTTCGGAGGTGTTCGACACGGGCGGCCAGCTCGGAGCTGCTGGAGCTTTACAACATGGTAGGTGCTGGTCGCAATGCAATGGAAGCCCTTGGCTCCCGAAACATGGCCCGAGTCAGACCGTCAAGTAAAGCGAGGACAAAGCTGAAAAATCCCAAGTCTGTCTTGCATGAATGCAAAATCAGATGGATTATTGCAAGTGGATGGAAGAGAAGCCTCGCAAAGTGAGAATCTGATATCAGCCACGTCATAGCTGTTCCATGTTGAGTTGGTGGACAAGCCTAAGAACGAGGCTAGAAGGGGATGCGAAGTGGTGGTGTCTGAATATGCATCTGGATTTGAGCATAACCCCAACTTGTTTGTAGGGGTATCGCGGCCATTCTGTAGCCTCGTCTTCCCGGCCAATTTTGGAGCTCCGTGGCCGTTACAATTCCTGCCCGCTCAATCGCCAAACCACCTGACCCCAGGTTTATGCCCAACTCAAACCTAAAACACAGTCACCGTGTTAACATGATCGTTCTTGAGTACCTCAAACACGAGACCGGGGAATCCAAATAAAGTAGTGGTTGAATCGTCGCTGCCATCAAATCTCTTGGCGCCACTGTCCTCCCAACCTCCAAGAAATTCGCAGCTGCTGCCGGGGCTATCACCCCAGCCCCTATTGAGCACCATGCCTCTTTGGGGGGTCTAGAGTCGCCTTCAGGGTACGCGCTGTTCCACCGTTCGTTCAGTCTGTCTTTAATCTCGGTGAACTTGGTCTCTGAGTTTGCCGCCGCACCGGGAGAGCCATCATCGAGATAGCTAACTTCCCAACGGCAGCGACGGTGTCTGTTGAACTCATATGATCCAGGTACGTTACCATGAAGGACTAGTTTCGTAGCAACCAGTCGATCAGGGGATTCCGACTTGATGGGTTTTCCTGGTGGCACCTGAGACTCGTGTTGCGAAGGCGGTGGTCTTGATGGAGGCGAGGGAGTGGACACCAGCACATCAAATCCTAGATAGAAGTAGTTGTAGAAACATTCACCAGAAACGTTTCCGGCAATGTCTTCTTCGATGGCTTCATCGTTGGAATCGTCTGAGCCAGTGTTGGCAGATGATTGGTCAGTGTCAGTAAGATCGTCTGGCCGACTCAAGTCAGCGCCGTTTGACCGAGCTCTGCTGTGGCTCGCCGTCCGAAGCTTGTGTATTGTCATCCTCTGGTCGTTCTTCCGATAAGTAGCGTTCGGGGGACCGAGCTCAGCGATCAACTCCTGTGGGCTCGTCTCTCCCAGGATAATCCAAAGGGACGAGTTGGTCCACTTGCGGAACAGCTGGAGCTTTCCACCACCATGAATCTTGACCAGCGAGATTTCGTCGGGAACGACATCCTTCCCCCTTGGAAGGACGGGAACCGTTTTGACACTCGGGAGAACCTCTGTCCAAAGGCTCTCTCGAGCTTGGGCCCACGAGTCTCCGCTGAAGACAGCCATGGATGTGGGCACCTGGCTTGTCGCAGCAGACAGGAGTGACACCACATCCTTATTGGGGGAGTATGCGGATTCGGCCAGTCGGAAGGTAAAGGCAACGCCAGGGTAGGACAGTATGTAGTTACCCAGGTTATCGGAGGAATCGGGCGTTGGGGGTATGTACTCTCCACCGTAAGTTGGTCCGAGCAAGCGATGGTAGATTTGTCGGAAGGTTGGGCCGGAGGTAGATTCTCCGGGAACTGGAGACGATGGCGGTCCCTGCGCGTTGGCGGGTTTGACGAGATCACGGTCCTTAAACGTGACATGATTCTTGGTGAAGTCGACAATCTCTACCAGGCGCAGACGCTGTTCCGGACCGTCGAATCGTAGCCTTATGCCGTTGGCAGGGAGGCTGAGGGTTACGGGCTGTTGAACGGGTTGCTCGCGGGAGTAGGCAAGGTCGAGTTGTGGAAAGCGTTGCGGTTCGGCCTTCAGTCGCGTCAAGACATCATGCAAGGACGCTCCAAGAACTAAGCGACAAGCAATAGAGTTAGCGTCCGAGTGTGTACTGCAGCAGTCAGAGTTCATGCAAACCGAGAAATCCCAGAGCCCGTCCTGGGTGCAGTTGCGCAGTGAAGAGCGACATGATGAGCAATCGGATCGTGGCTCAGCGCGGGGTCCGCCGAGTGTTCAGGGCGGTGTTGTTGCAGGAACTTCGTCGGGTTCTAGAATGAATATGGTGGCATAGGATGTGGCTACTGGTGGTTTGGGTGATGTCTTGCGCAGAAGAGATGTGTATGAGTGAAGGATAGTGCTCCGACAGCCAGCAGTAGAGACGGCGCAAGTTGTTCTCCCGTCGTTGTTCACGGGTCCGTCAGAGGGGTTCATGTGATGCTGCAGCAGTGACAACGGACTAGCGGGGCGTGGGGTCGGAATGAGACGTCACTCGCTTATCAGAGGTATAAGGTACAAGATAGCACCGTTTGAGCAAATCAGAGTCGTTGAAGGCAGGTGCAGCAGATCCACCGGGTATGCAGGGGCCATAAGCTCTTATCTAATCGGCCAGCAAGCTCCAACGGAACACCCCAGTCGGGAGGGAAGTTGCAGACCTGAACCAGTGGAGGATGGGGAAGCTGTTGGGGACGATCGAGCTTCCTTCCGCTGTAAGCACGACAAGTCACCATCAAGGTACCAATGTAACTCATATTTCGGATATACTTGGAAGGCAACATTGGCAAAAGTGCTTGCAAAGAATGAGATTTTCAGCCCGTGTCAAAGTATCTTTTCGCCCTAGGTACCTATGTCTGCTACATCTTTGATTTATTAGCAGGCGCGGGGAAGACAGCCAGCGTAGCATCAACATCATCTCAAGAATGTGCCAACGCAACCTCTTGGCTCGTCGGAGAATCACCGCTACCATCTGCTTGCAGGGTTTCAGCAACATTATGAACTTCTTCTGTACACGAACGCCAGCCAACAGAAGCCAATAGACAGAGCTTGCCAGAGATCGGGACACTTTGTATGCCACCGGACATACCTCCGTAAAGTCTCTCCAGTCGCCTCATACGAGGCTTCCGGCTTCTCCACCGGCTTCCCTACTGTCTCCGCATGGAAACTATCCCGTCTCTGCAACAATTATGCTTGCGACAGCCAGCAAGATGCTTCATTCGGTAGATTTCGCTTTCTCTCGCCTGAAGTTGAGCACGGAGAAGCCTCCAAGGCCTGATGCCCACAGACCTTCGTTCGACGAACTCTCACTCTGTTTCACCTATTCTTGTTAGTTCAATCTACTTCTCTACAAGGATGGACCACAGAATCGCACATTTCTCACGCCATTCAATCAACCTCCTGGCCAGTCCTCCCACCACTACGGCTCGCTCGGAATTGGCATCGACATATGAGGAACTGTGTGTACCACCCTCAGGACTCCATAGGGAGCCTGAACTAGATCACAGGCCATTTCGTCTGCCTTTCACCATGTTATTTCACCAATCCCATACCGAGAGTCTTAGCGTTGCTGCCATTGTCGTAAGCAGTGTCTTGGCTTATTCTTCATTTTCATTAATTAAGAGGAACCTAAAGTGTTGCTAAGACCCATAAAGTACATCAACAGAGGCGCGGGGCGTCAGTGTTCAACACACCGCCTCATATCTACCTCTCACTGGTATTATGCCACGATGGCCGGCTTATAGCGGGACTCGTACCTCGTCTTCGGATTCGCCCTGCCTTCCCATTGACTTTGCTGCGCCTCTCGGAATAGCAATAGAGAACGGTTCTCGGTGGGTGCAGCGAGTGCTGCTACTCTTCAGTTATCAGAACTAGAACCCAGTGGAGCCCCAGGAGTTACGGCCGTGTTGTCTGGTCAAGTCTGGTTGTACACTATTTGATCTCCAGCCGCCGCTGTCGATCGACTAAGGAATCACGTCAATTTGGAAGCAATGGCTAGCCATTAGCATGCTTGTCGATACTTCTACTTTCAACGGACCGACACGGGATCGAAGTCTCACTAATCCGTGGCGAGCAAGATGATGGATTCGACAGCTGGTTGTGCCCTGGATTCACTCTTCAAAAGTGAGTAAACGACTGAGGATGAGCAAGCCACCTTTCCACGGACCCGACTCATCATGCTGCGCACTAGCATGGCCATCGACCCTAAACCGTGCTTCTTCAATGGAATTATGGGATCAGCATCCACAATGAACCTGAGCCCTGTCGCTCGGTCTCATCGCAACTTTCATCGTTAGAGTGCTTCTTTGCATCTTCTGGACTACAATACTTCAGGGGGTATTCGTTAAACTTGCAAGAACCACGGCGTCCCCGATCCGGGTATCTTGCATTTCTTGAGGTCCGCAATTTACTGCGCTAGGTACGATCATGCCGTCAAGTAGAAAAGTGCAAAGAAAACGTCTGTGAGCTCCTCTCTGGTCATTCTCCTCCGACTGGTATTTTGACTGACTTCATCAAATCAGTTCGACAAAATCTACGGCACGAGGTGCCGGTTCCACAATCTCCGCTTGACTCGACTCTTCAAGAATACGCGGGACTACCCTTCAGTGTCACTATGATTCGGTTTTATTTTCAACTTGAAGTACGACAATAGATCTTGCAGATCGATGCCGGCGTCAGCGGACAGTTTCAAGACGACAAGTGGGCCGACCGTGCGATCACGCACAGATTATGGCCTCAGAAGTCGCATGCACTATTCACTTACCTCCCACTCTTTGGGCCACTGGAATCGAGTCCCATTACATAGCTCAACATCGAATTCGCACCCATGCCCAACGTAGGCGCCTCAATGCCCAACAGCATCAGCGCTCGTATGCGGCAGGCACAGCTTAGCCGGATCTCAGGTATCCCATGGCTTAATATGTCAGCACATTGAAGATCATCGACGTCAACGCCGTGGACTGAAGGAGTATGGGCCCATCTCTACGTCCAAAACATGGTTCGGCGTAGCAAGTTGAGCACCCGCGAAGGATCGCGTCCTCGTTGAAGAAAGCAGGCCGCTACGAACGGCTTCCGCCTAAGCTTGCCTCACGCAGTCCCATCCGCGAAAAGCTCGCCTCACTCTTTGTGCCAAGACGTGTCAAAGTTTGATCTGATATCTGAGAGCAGCTGCCGTCGGCGACGGGGTCCACCTCATGCAGGCGTGCAACGATGCTCCGCAACGTGAGTCGGCCACGCCGTCTTCATGAACGGCATGTCGACTGCAAGTCCTTGGAATTACGTAGGAAACGTACCATGATCTAGTTATGGTAAGCAGACTGGTATGTGTTGGCAGACGTTCAAAGTTAGCGAACGCCAAATGAGTACTTGACGAGTTGAACACCAGCGAAAATGGCTCACAAGTTGGCGTTCAGACTTCCATTTTATCTCGGGTAGCCAGCATTGCGTAGAATCCAATGGCGCGTCTCACAATGTAACACAACCAAACCCCATCATTAATGATTAATCATTGCGACCACACCTCATACCTGGATAGCGTCTTTCTACTTGGTAAAGTAGACACCACCGACAAGCGTAATATTCCAATCATCAAGAAGTACGTAGATCCGAATTGAGGCATGGTGAGAGCAGCTTCGAGCACACGATGCCTTACGATGTAACGCACACAATGAACGCAATGAAGCCAAGTTCGATCTCTGCATCCATCGTCTACTCATCAGAGCCGGAATTCGTTCATGTGACGTGGTTTTCTCCCGAGCGAAGAATCAAAAGCCATGCCGCTTTTGCCGCTCCTGAATCGCGGGCTTGAAGGTGTGGCCCTCTCAACACTGTGTCGTTGGTATCGACACGGGAAAGGATTCAAGCGATGCTGACTATACCTTGAATAGGTAGGTGAGTAACGTGTGTTCATCGGGGCCTTCAACCCTGCTTTTCCCCCTCGACAATTTCCCATCTTGTCATACCATCGCTACTAAGCCACGAAAAAGGCCTCTGCGGCGCACACTCGAAAACCCAATCCGATGAACGTCAGAGACGCTGGCCTAGCCTCTCACGATGCGGACTTCATCGTGGAAGCGTTCAACTCGACCCTCGCGCCGCTCGCGGCCCTGGGTAGCGGCGCGATGTGGGGGTCGCAGCCCTTTAGCCAGAAAGACGGCTTTGTCGAGGAAACCCTCAAGGATGTGGCGGCTTCGTCGAGGTACCGTACTACCGGCGAAGGCGATGCTTTGAGAATCTTCATCGCCGAAGTCGAGGTTGGGTCCCCGGCGGCGACTGGGGCGATTACCCCGCACGACGCCAGGCAAGACGGGCCGGGCCTCCGGTACAGGACCGCCGAGGACGGGAAGCGCTACGTAACCATCGGCGCCGCGTTCGTGCGCACGAATTGGCTTCCGGGCCACGTCAAGAGGCAGTTTGAAAAAGAGAAGAAGATTCGTGACGAGTTGGAGGGGAAGAAGGACGGTTTCGCGTACCTCGACGTGATCGTCACAGATTACAGGACCGGGCGGTATCGCAAGGGCGCTGGAGAGGCGCTCATTCGACGGGCCAAGGAGTATGGGGTTACGGAGGGCATGCAGGTGCTTTATGTTGATATGTGGGCTGGGAACGAGAAGAAGTTGAACAGGTGAGTGCGACAGAGGATTGATTTGAGATGATACGGTTGTTTCTAATGAAGGAGAATAGGTTCTATGAACGGCAGGGGTTTGATGTCGTTGACGACTTTACTTTCGCGCGTACTGATAAATCTGCTTGGCTTGGTACGCTTATGCGTTTGGATTTATCAACGATTGAAGGACAGCAGGCTTGAACAGGCGCATCTTCGATTTGTGTCGGGACTGTTGACGAGACACCTGCAAAGGTCTCTCACACTCTACTTTACAAGCTGCTTCTATGGTAACTACGTTGGAATTATAGCCCAGCCACTAGGTGAAAGTCGAGGAACGTAGCGTGCCATGTACTAGATCGAATCATTGTCTCGCAGGGTGGCTGTTTGGTAGCGGTCTCTAGGCTTCTATCAAAGCGGGAGCCGGTCTCAAGGTCTCTGCGAGAACCAGGCCCAAATAGAGAGAAGGGAGAACAGAGAAAAAGAAAAAAGATCTCGATAGGGAATCGAACAAAAGGTTAGGTTGAGTGAGGCTCAAGGACTTTCGGGTTAATACAAAGACTCCCCCTCATTCCCCTCGGCCACGTTCCCCTTGTTCCTCTTATGACAGGAGGGTGGAAGAATTGACTCAAGTACCCTTTCCCCCAGGCACTATTCTGCTTTCTAACATGAATCGTACGAATATGCGACCACACCCTTTCTATGTAAAGGTGTGGGAATCCCGGCTGCAAGCTTTTATAGAGAGGCTCAACTGCTGGTCGTATTCAGGCTAAATAGAACCTCAATGTCACCAACCTCCACGTGGGTGTTCTCCAATGTCTACAGCCTGCCATCATGAGCTCTGTGCAGTATGCAAACAGTTGTCAGAAACGACGCTTCCTTTGACCCGGAAATTGGGGAACGTTGCAATCATGGACGGAATAAGGTAGCGGAGACTGAATAGCGGAACCACGGGGATTCCATTCGTGTAGTATCAACAATTCCCAGTTCAGGGTCCGGAGACACACACAATATCAGGTCCGTAGCTTTTTGTAATATGAACACCATAGACCGGATCATTCTTGAATGACAAGCCGGGCTCAAAAGCGTACGGGGAAGATTCTTGACACTAGGTTCAAGTTTAATCGCTGACCGAGGGCATCTGACGACAAAGCAATAGCTGAGTAATACTCTCCAATGAGAAAGACATTCATGGGACTTGGATCAAGAATGGTAATTAGACTCTTCAGCTCGATGCTGTCAAGCTTCGAGACTTTGTCTCTTCTTAGAGGTCCGAGATTGTTGGTAGATGGAGGGGACGACGCAGCCACTAGCCCGCAATTTCTCGGAATCATTGCGTCCGCCGCCCTCTTTCGCAGACCTCAAAGGGGAAATCTGCATATATAAGACATTATCCATGGCCTAACATCCAAGGTTACGAAGACTGGCTGTTATTCACCAACTTCAGGTCGGAGAACTCCCACTACAGTCCACAAAAGAACAAGCAAAGAGAAAAAAAAGTCGAATCTCACGATGCGCTCCCTCACCCTCCTGGCTACGGCGATGACCGGTCTCCTCGCTCCTCTGGCGAGCGCCGCCTCCCTCCAACAGGTAACGTCCTTCGGGGCTAACCCGTCCGGCGCAAAGATGTACATCTACGTCCCGGACAAGCTCGCGGCGAGCCCGCCTATCATCGTAGCCATCCACTACTGCTCCGGCACCGCGAACGCGTACTACTCCAACACGCCCTACAAAGGGTATGCCGACACCTACGGGCTGATTGTCATCTACCCGGAGTCGCCGTACTCTGGCACGTGCTGGGACGTCAGCTCGACCGCGTCTCTGACGCATAACGGCGGCGGAAACAGTAATGCGATTGCGAACATGGTGACGTATACGCTTGATAAATACGCCGGTGATAAGAGCAAGGTTTTCGTAACGGGGACTTCTTCGGGAGCCATGATGACAGTGAGTCCTCTTGCGTTTTCTTGTCCCGTAGATGGCTGTATCAGAGGATCGCGGAGTTAGGATCTTGTGGAAAGCCAAAAGCCTCCACCACCACTGACAATGAACCTCAAAGAACGTCATGGCAGCAACCTACCCAGAGCTCTTCGCCGCCGGCATAGCCTACTCGGGCGTCCCTGCGGGCTGCTTCTACACCGGCACCGTCAACGGCTGGAACTCCACCTGCAGCCAGGGCCAGTCCATCGCCTCGCAGCAGGCCTGGGCCCAGACGGCGCTCAACATGTACCCCGGATACAGCGGCAGTCGGCCGCGGATGCAAATCTACCACGGCAGCGCCGACACGACGCTGTACCCGCAGAACTGGAACGAGACGATCAAGCAGTGGACGGGGGTGTTCGGGTACAGTCTCACGCCGCAGCAGACGTTGCCTGGCACGCCGAGCGGGCAGTATACCAAGTACGTGTACGGGCCAAACTTGGAGGGGATTTATGGGACGGGGGTCGGGCATAGTGTGCCTGTCATGGGGGCTGAGGATTTGAAGTGGTTTGGGATTACTGTGAGTGTGATTTCGTTTTCCGTGTTTTTTCCCCTTTACTCTTTCAAGAAGATAATCTGACTGACGTTCGCAGGGCGGCTCCACGCAGCCGGGAACAACGACGCAGACCTCGGCGGCACCACCGGCGACATCGACGGCGAGCGCGCCGCCGACCGGAGGGTGCACGGTTGCGAGGTGGGGCCAGTGCGGCGGGAGCGGATGGAGCGGGTGTACCGCCTGCGCGAGCCCGTATACTTGCCAGGCCGCGAACCAGTGGTACTCTCAATGTCTTTGAGTGGTTTACATGGCTTGTTGCAGACGAGACGGCATGTACAGGCATATCCGGATTCTACATTGCAGAGTATGAAAGCAAGTCAAGGTAAGTTCCAGAAACGGCGCCGATGTGGGGCCGTCGGTCTTCCGGGATGTTGGTCCAAGTCTCTCCTCCGGTCGACCGAGCTTTTTGAGCCGAACGGTTGCCGGGAGAATGTTTCCAATCTTTCCAGATAAGGCTATAGATACTTGATCAAACTTAATTTTGAGGGGTTTTCCCTTCTTTCATGGCCGAAATCAGCTGTTTTGAATGACTCTCATCCCTGAAAAAGTAAATGGAGAGGCGTCGTCGGCCGTATTCCGACCCTTGTCTAAGGCCGAGAAATCGGCCTTTACGCCATGCACAACAAGCGCGCTGCATAATACTTGCTCTAGCTCCGACCGGGAGACTGGTAGCTTGCTTATACGCATGCAATGATGCCACGAGATTTCCCCAATACTGTTTAAATATTTGGTAAAATCTCGGAGTGAAAGGCGGGAGGATGACCGCCGCAGAGTATTGCGTGATAGCGGAGAGACATCGCGCATTGGCTGCTTGGCAGAACCCGGCTCACCACTAACCTCGCAGAATGAGACGACAAGAGGAATATAGTCAATCACATCCTTCGATAACGACATTTTGATGGGATCCACAACAGTTATTGATGTGATGGAAGCTGCAAGGTTAAAGATCGCAGGTGTTCGCTGATGACTTCCCTTTGAGAGAATGCTTTACACGAGCCTAGATGAAATCTTTTCGGCGGGCACTGCGCACTTACACCTCAGGAAAGTGCACTTGATCGTAATTTTCGGTCAACGAAATCACCCAAGCCATGGCCGACGAAAAAGGGGTCGAACCCAAAGTGACGTCTACGCCCAAGGGCAAGACCGTCTCGGAGAAGAACGCTGACGTGACGCTGCGGCTCCTCGAGCAGCATGGCGACGAGTTCGGTCCCCTGACGCCCGAGATGGAGAAGAAGATTCGTAGGAAGCTCTACCTTCGCGTCATGACTCTCCTGTCGGCCATCAACATCATGCTTTTTGTAAGTTGATCGCGATGGAACGTGAGTTTATGTAATGAGCAACTGGCTAACCGTGACTTGTTTCTAAGGTTGACAAGTCGACACTCGGTTACGCAGCTATCTTGGGCCTCTTCGAAGAGACTGGTATCAGGCAGGCCCAATACAATAACTTGAACACGATGTTCTACGTCGGTAAGCAAAATTCACCTACATATCCCCTTTTGGCCTACACAACAACCTTTTTCAGCGAGAAACTGACGCGAACACCCCCATCCTCAAAGGTTACCTAGCCTTCCAATGGCCAGGCCACATCCTCATGCAAAAGCTCCCCTTTAGCAAATACGTAGCCATCACAATCTTCATCTGGTCCGTCCTCATCTTCCTCCACTGCGCAGCAACTTCCTACGCCGGCCTCATCGTCCTCCGCCTCCTCCTCGGCGCCGCCGAAGCCACAATCGTACCCGCAATGGAAATCACAATCGGCATGTTCTTCAACCGCCGCGAGCAGTCCTATCTCCAGCCCGTCCTCTGGATCACCTGCCAAGCCGCGCCCCTCGTCACCGGCTTCCTCTCCTACGGCCTCCTCTACGCCGAGGGGCCCGTCCTCCCCTGGAAACTCCTCCACATCGTCACCGGCGGGCTCACTTTGTTCTTGGCCGTCTGGGTCTGGTTCGAGTACCCTTCCAACCCGGCCGAGGCCCGCTTCCTCACCCTCGAAGAAAAAATCCACGTCATCCGCCGCGTCCACGCCGCGCAGCAGAGCTCCATCGAGCAGAAACGCTTCAAGCGCGAACAAGTCGTCGAAACCCTCCGCGACCCGGTGTCCTGGCTGTTTGCCCTGCAGTCCTTTACGCTAATGTACTCCAACAACCTGAACTACGGCCAAAAGAACCTCATCACCACCTCCATCGGCATCAAACCCCTCGGCTCGACCCTCGTCGCCGCGGCGGGCGGCGCCTTCGGCATCCTCTGCTGCGTCGTCGCCACCCTCGCCCTCCGCCGCTGGCCAACCAACCTCGCCCTCCACGGCACCCTCTGGTGCATGCCCGCCGTCGCGGGCGGCATCGCGATGATTACCATCCCCTGGGACCGCAAGATCGGCCTCCTGGCGTGCCTGATCCTCGCAGCGGCGACGTACGGCGTGACGTACATCATCGCGCTGGGGTGGACGACGTCCACGGCGGCGGGGTACACCAAGAAGCTGACGCGGAACGTCATGTTCATGCTGGGGTACAGCGTCGGCAACCTTGTGTCGCCGCAGATCTGGGTGCCGGCCAACGCGCCGCGGTTTTATGGCGCGTGGGCGTCCATGATTTCGGTGAGCTGGGTCGGGACGCCGGTGATTTTGTGGGTTATTCGGTTCATACTTGTGAGGAGGAACAAGGAGCGGTTGGAGTATATTGCTGGGTTGAGCGAGGATGAGCGGGACGGGTGGGTTGAGCAAGTTGATGAGGGCGGCGAGACGATCCGGGTCAAGGTCGATTTGGCGGTTTTGGATCTGACGGATCTGCAGAATAAGCAGTTTCTATACCCCATATGAAGGGGCGAGGAACTAATCTCTCGTAGTTAGCGTCTTTTTGCGAGGACTGTTGAATATCAATCAAACTGCTGTAAGGCCTCGTATCAATCTCTGAACTGTCTCAATCGTCCTATTTCCTTTGTTTCCAACTGGGGCTTGCTGAGGTGTAGCTCGACTTGGAAACTTGAAGGCCTAATTTTTGCTTATCCAGTAGCTCATAGAGTTTCTCTCCAATCAACAAACAGTAAGTTGTTTCTGGGCTTATCAAGAGTTAACATGCAATCCATAAAGTCTTCAAACGGTTGACACTCTGTGTTAGCTGTTTGAATTGGGTATGCATAGCCGTATTACTCTAGTAGGAGACCGTCATTGCCAATTGCTCAGAGAGGCCACACAACTGGACCTCGCAAATTGGCTCTAATTTATGTAGATTGGTCAATGGTGCGCGACTCCTATTTATCTTCATGGAGTCTTAAAAATGTGCTGAAAATGACGAACACTTTTATGAAATGTGCAAGTCGAGGGATCAAAAGGGAAAAGTTGTATTATTCAGTTCTTGAGACAAGCCGTTAATATGCTACGACATCTATGCCATGTCCATTCCATGCCTGTTAACTCCCGGCTCGGCATTGTAAAAGAAGTGGTTTAAAATAAGATTTCTGTATGACCTTGAAGAATGTGACAAAAAGGGTAGAATGTAGAATTTCGGACGAAGAGAGCCGTCTTTCCTTTAAAACACTGGCTCGATTACACACAATGTAAGCCGTGAATAGAAAGAAATTGAGCCACAATCAAATGCCAGCCTCACTCGACTCTCTTCTTGCCCTCCTCAGCATGAAGATATCTCGCCGTGCTAAGACCACGCTCATGACGAGCAACAAAGGAGCCAAGGACGGAATCCTTCCGGGCTTTGGACATGTGCTCGGCGTAGCCCTCATTGGCCCACGGTCTGGGGTTGAGCTTAGGCCAGTTGACCTGAGATAGGTTATCAGCTGGATTGAACATGGACAGGGAGAAGGGGCAGCATGATGGCTGTGACTTACGTAAAGCATGCCGTGGCTAAAGACGAAGCTGGCAGACCA